TCTCTTGTCTGTCTACATGAGCTGTGAGAGTGAGTAGGTCTCGTTTACATGCTTGGGTTAGTGTAGCCCATGCCATTCTGGATTTCTAGCTGAGTTGAAAGACTAGTTGGAGTGATAGAGACTGGGAAAACTGTTTCTGTTCTTTGTTTTCTGCTTTGTTCAGCAGTTATTTTTTGAGCAGCTGTTGTGTGCCTAACCCACAGGGGTTATAAGAGGTGCTTGTACAGTCTTAACTCATGCACACACTCATAGGAGAATATTTGGTTAGTGTCAGTATGAGCAGTAAGTAGTTTGGAATTCAGAAAGGCAGAAGTAAATAGGAAGAGATAAATCTGGATAGATTTGAGCACCAAATAGAATTTTGCTTAAGGAGAAAGACACTGTCATCTGGAGTAGTAGATGACATGCTAGTTTAGCTTCCTGCTTACACTTGAGCCCACTTTTTACAGATTGCACTGATTTTTTTTATAAATGCCTTTTTCTTCCTGTCAGTAAACGTTAGGTGGATTTCTTTTCTTTTGCCTGTTCCTTTTCCCTTTCCTGCAGAGAAGTAAGCAGTGGAGATCAGGTTGGATGGTGGGCTGAGGGTAAGTTCCAGAAAGCCCTTTGTCCCTTGCTGAAGCATTTAGACTTTCTCCTCAGAGGAGGCAACCACTGCCTGCACTGGAGCTGTAGGGAGTTTGTAAAGCAGTATGTTAGCAAGACTTGGTCTGCCCACCTGATGTGTGTAAATGGGAGGGAGCCTAAGGCTGATGTTGTGAGGCCTGGAGATGTGGAAAGGAAAAGGAATGGAAGCATGGCCGGGATTGCTCAACAACTGACAGGGCCTGGTGATTGATTGCATGTGGGAGGTCAAAGACGTTTTCATCTAGGGACTTGTAGGAAAAAGGCAGAAGGAAGGAAGCTGCCTCTGGAGAGAAGTGATGCAGAGGCCTTCCGAATGGGGGAGTAACAAGGGGTTAAGAACACAGGCATGGCACCCTGAGGGCAGTCAGAGAAAGAGGAGGTGGGAGTCAAAGGCTCTGGGTCTTTGAGGCCTTTTCAGGGGTGAGGGGTTGTTCAGATAATGTGGGGTGCAGGAGCCAGGGCATAGGACTACTTTAGGAAGGGGGTCTGGTCGTGGGAACATCACATCTTCACATAATGAGATCCAGCTTTAATAGTTTAGAAGACAAAAGGGGGAAACTGTTTCTGTTTAAGAATTAAAGTTGAGGCAAGTCTGGAGGTTGTGAACCCGTTTCCAGACACCCAGCATAAAATCTTGCAGTAACTTAAAGCAGACGTTTCTGGTTTATTCTCTTTATCCAGGATGACCGTTCATTAATAAATTTGCATCTCATGCACACCAGTTATTTCCTCTTCGTGATGGTGATAACAATGTTTTGCTACGCGGTTATCAAGGGCAGACCCAGCAAATTGCGTCAGAGCAGTCCTGAATTTTGTCCTGAGAAGGTGAGCTGTGGATGGGGTCCAGCCCAGCATTTGGCTAGTGTATAGAACATCTCAGTATAGAACATCTCAGTCCTTATTACATTGATCGTGGGTGGCAGCTTTCCTCCAAAGAAATTAGTTCCTGTTATTTTATCAGAAGTAGTCTACCCTCACCCTAAATTATGGTGTTGGGTTTTCAACCATCCATATACCCAGACCTTAACTGTAAAAGGCACGGACTGTGGGAATTGCTCTCAAATCCCCACTGGAGAGCAGCTGTCCCTGGGGAGCTGCCTCTGCTTCACTTCCATCAGCTTGAGAAATTATCTCACAGAATGCTGATCAGGGTTTCAAAACAGTTAACTCTATCTCAGCACAGCGGTTCCACTAGATTGGCTGCTTCTGGCAGGAGACTTTTAGATTTCTGTTCATTCTCTCCTAGATGAGATTTTTTTTTTAGGGTTTAATTCCCCTGCTGGGCAGATGCATGCATGTGGCTCCCTGATCTTGGGTGGGAACCAGACCCCAGACAGGGTGCCAGTAGGACTGAGCTACCTGGGCTCTGCTGTGTGACTGGATTGCTTGTCTCACTCTCTTCTAGGTGGCTTTGGCTGATGCCTAATCCCACAACTGCCCGTTTTCTGAGAGACTGAAATAAGCTGTAATCATTGCCTGCTGATGCCAGCCTGGGCCTGGACACTCTGTGAATACCTTATCTTGCAATGTTGGGTTATTCCAGCCAAAGACATTTCAAGTGCCTGTAACTGATTTGTATATATTTATAAAAATCTAATTAGAAATTGGTCCAGTGATGCATGTGCTTCGCACTGGGTGCAGCCTGAACCCTGCAGCCTCTCCTGGGGACTTGGTGGGATGATGATGAGCAGTGCCAGCGGCAATCCCTGACCTCCTTGCATCCAAGCGGGCTGTGCTGTCTTTACCAAGGTCACAGGGTGTTTCATTGCTGGTGGCGTTGAGGTTTGCTTTGGTTCGAAACAGTTAGCACCTTTGACATGGTGTTGCATTTCCCAAGCCACCAATCCGTTTTGTGGATTTATGTGTCTGGCTTAATAATCATAGTAACAACAGTAATATCTTTTTCTCCATTTTGCTTGCAGGGAAACATACCTATCTTTCTATGTTTTCTTTTTTTTTTTTCTTTGAAAAAATAAAAATACTCACATTTCACTACTACCCTAGTTAGGACAGACTTGTGCTTTCATCTTGAGTAAAAAGTTAAATATTTTAAAGTCACCTCCATGGTAAATATCTAAGTTTCATTTCCGCATGGATGATGAGGAACCTGGTCTTATGGAATTGAGTTGGCACAAAACATTCCACGTCTTTTTCTCCTCTGTTGTTCCTTCCCTCTATTATAAAAGTAAAGCAGCTTCCTCACTCAGAAGGGCTTAAAAATTAAGTAAATATCTCTAGAGTAGGGTAAAAATTAGCTGTTCTGTTTTCTGGAAAGCAGATGACAGTATGGAAAGAAAGAATGATGATTTGGTCTAAGTTGTGAAAGGATTTCATATTTTCTTTGAAGAGAGAGTGGTTTTTCTTCCCTCTTTTCGTATTTATTTCTATGCAGTTAACATTATCAGAGGAAAATGACAACTAGTAGATCAGTGCCATTACAAAAACGATGCCTGTAAAATGTGAATGAAAGCAATTCTGATTTGCTATTTATCAGGAAATCCCACAACATTTTCCTTTCCTACATTTTGATGATTAATTCCTTTACCCCTTTTTCCTTCTAATCCATCTTCATTTAAAAAAAAATTCACATTTTCTAGTCTTGTTACTTGTCTTCCTGTTTTTCTTAAGTTTTTTGCTTTAGTAGCTCATTGTCACTAATGATTTCTGCATTCTCGCAAGCAAAGGCAGAGTAGAAGGGCAAGTAAAATCTTGAACATGACTATTAGCACTTCTTTCCCTTAACTCCAGGTCTGTATAGTCTGTTCTAAGTTAGAATTATAGATTGGCCTAGAATAGTCACATTTTAATACTATTTTTATCCCAGGCATTCTTGAATGGAAAACAGCTGTGGGCTTTCACTGAAGATTGTTAAAATAACCTTCTTAGTAACTGGATGTGTAAATATATATTTTTTCCTTTCAGTACATTTCAAGCACAGTAATCACACTTGTCTATCCAGTTTGAGGTGAGTTGCTTACATGATGCATGGCTAACTTGTTAATTTAGTTTTCTCTTCAGAGACTTTGAGACTCTTAGGAGACAAAATTGAGAAAGCTGTTGGGCCTTTAGAAACACCAATATCATTAAGACCAACAGATTTTAGGTTAAGCTGCTACTGACGTAATAAAATCCCAATGAGTGGCATTCTATGGATAGATTTACAACTGGCAGAGTAAGGAGAAAGATAGGTTGAAAAAGTCAATTTCACTGATTTGTTCAGTCCAGCGTGCTGCTAATATTACCCTTGTTTTAATTCTAGGGAATGGCTGGAATCTGTAGCCAGGGGAAGAAGCACACTGCTAGGCTTGAGGAAAGAAAGTACCAAAAATGCCTGGACACACACTTTAAAATCCAGCATTTACTCTGGTAGGTAATTTTCAAGGATCTTGTGGAAACCCAGAGTCAGGTGTATAAAGGAAGGCCGAGGCGGAGCGGAGGCCATGGACCTGGGTAAAGAGGTCTAGGACCTAAAGAGACTTCCACTGGGTCTCAGGAAGTCCAGGGGACCTGTTGCTATGGAGGCACTTACAGACAAGGCCTGGTCCTCTGTAGTGTCTTGATAGGGGACCTCAGGATTGGAAGAGTGTCACAGACAGGGCCCATTTGCCATTGAGGAGTGACCCCTTATGGGAGTGCTGGCTCATCCTCAGGCATCTTGGACTGGAGGTCCAATGAAAGGTCAACTTACTATTACAGTGGTTGTTCCAGATCATATTGATCTCTTTTTCTTTTTCCTTTTGTCCTTTCACTGTGTGACTTGAATCAGTTTTGATTCTATTTGTAAATTTTTCTCATCATTAGGAACCTGCCATTTCTATTGCATTTTCTTTGGCAGTCTGTAGGGATTCAGCATCCTGGTTTTTCAATCCTCCTGTAGGCACTGTGGGGTTACAAGGGCCAGTGGATCCATTTCACTTATCTTGCTGCATGATTGTCAGTAGCCGATCTGTTATGGCATTCACTCCCAAATTAATTTTCTGTATTTGAAATATGTGCATATGTGCTTTATAGAATAAAACATCTGAATTTATTTGCTGTGTCTCTGTTTCCTCCTGTCTGATGGGTGTTTTTTAGAGAACATACATGATAAATAATTGAGGGTTTTTTGCAAGCTTTTCTTTCAAAGTATCACCTATCATCAGAATAAGGGATGAGCAGTCAGGATGAGGGATGAGCAGTGTTTCCTATTCAGCTGGCCTCACCAAGCAGATGGGTCTTCTCCCTGAGAGCACGAAACCTCTTTTAGTGTATTGGACCAACAAGGCTTGCAGACCTGACCCAGGTCCTGTTCCGAATAAGTAAGTGACACAGACCAGTAGTGAGCATTTGAATAGATATGGGAGTGTAAAGACACCCTTCTCAGTTACATAAACCCTTTGTGCATACCTGGCCTGAGTTACCAGAAGCAGACTCCTTGCTGGATCTGCCTTGCTCTGTTACAGAGTTCCCCCACGTACTAGACTTCCTTTGCCAGGACACTGCATCCTCTACAGTTATTTGTAGAGTGATTTATAAAGGAAGGTCATGTTCACTAATGTGAGTTCTTCCCTGTTCCAGTGGGCAGAGGCTTTATGGGCCTTCCCTCCCCAACAGGTACCAGGGTCTTAGAGGTCAGTCTCAAGGCACTCTGATAGGATACCTCCAGGAGCTCTTTGTTTCTACCTGCTTCACCTCTTCCTGCCTTCTCTCTAATGTGTTAAACACTATACTGGCAACACTTGATGCCATTCACTGCTCTCTCTTTGTACTCAGATGTATGTAGTGTTTTATCTCCATCACAGTGCAGAAGCCTTTGGAGAATAAGAGCTCATTTCTGTCTTCTGCACAGTCTATGTAAAATCTGACATGTACCAAGTCCTCAAGTCAAGTCAGACATAGTGCTTTAAAACAGTTTGATTTTCCTGGTGGGCATACTGTGCTTGAAGTTCCTCAGACATACAGAAAAAGCAGAAGGAATGCACAGACTAGAGGCAAGCTGTGGAGTCCAGTCAAGCTCATCGTGAACTTATTTACCATCTCACAGAAACTTTCCTTGCCCTATCTATGAGAGCCCTTTCTTTTCACCTCTGAAGACCCCAAACTCATACCATGCTAGTTTTTGATTATTGGAGAACTGGAGTGGTTTGACCTTTGCAAAAATAGATGACAAGTCAATTGCGCTATGTCTAAGGGGAGGAAGGGGATTGAGTTTTGACTTTGATATTATTCTTGCTCACTCAGGAACAAATATTTCTGGGGTTCCTTGTAAGAGCTATATCACTGTTCTAGGAGCTAGGGGTACAGCAGCACACAGACAAAATGTTTGCCCTCTTGGCATTTCTAGTTGGGGAGACAGTCCATAAACACAAATATATTTATAATCTATTGGCAGATAATGACAAGATAAAAAGGGTTACCAGGGTAGAGAATGGTGGCCATGATGTCTCAGTTGGGATGATCGCAGAAAGCATCTTGGAAGAGGGGTGATTCGAAGGCACACATAAAAAGGGGAGTTCTGGCTGGGCATTCCATTCAGAGGACAGGTGAAGAATGGGAGTCCTTTCGGGACTTCTCTCCCCAACCAAGGACAAGATTCCTCCAGGTTGCTGCCAGAGTGGCCCCTCATGGGTGGCCTGCTGGAGGCTGCGCAGGGAGATGGTATACACCACCATCTGGTCCAGGAATGGAGTTCTTGGCATCTACTTTGCCCCACGTCCATGACCACATGACTGGTTCACATGCCTAATCGATGGAGAAGCTGGATAATCCACCTCTCTTCAGCTCAGAGTTTCCCACTTGGGCACACGTGATGGGCACTGTAGTGGTCTGCTGCCTGGAATGGGACCCTCCCTTTCCCCCTGTTCCAGGGTACTCATTCCAGCATCTTATCTTGCTGCTTTCCTGCTCCAGGACTACCCAGGGGCCGCTAGTGGTGGGGCAGCTGCAGGCCACCAGTGAGGACACTGAAGGGCAGAATCAAGGTCAAACTTAGATCATCAAGGACCCATTTAGCTCCTTGAGCATAACCTTATCAGTCCCACTTTCCTCTTTTTATAAATTTTGCTGTCATGAAAAGACATCATCTACTAATATGAAATTAAAAAAAAACAAAAACACAAGACTAACAAATATAAAGAATGAAAAGAAAGCAACATAATAAACTCATATGTATTTCAATAAGTAAAGGCCCAGGCACAACTACCCTGGAAGTGGCGATGACGGGATTAGATGCTTGTATCTGCAAGAGGATGGCTGTGAATGGGACAGCTCTACAAGCAGTGTGACAGGTGAGTTGAATGGGCCACTCAGACTCCTGCGACAGGGCTGCTGGAGATGTGATTTTTGTTAAGTTTCCCAACAAAACAGTACACTCTACTCAGTTTAGTTGAATTCCTAGAATATACAGTGTATGTGTAATATCTGTGCAAAATAATGTTAGGTTCCTTGCTCAAATGATTCGATTTTCTACCTCTATGTGAACGTTAGATAAGACATATGAAATGTGACAAGTCTATGGCAGTTTGGCCCTTGCATCCAAGGAGTGTCCCCCTATTATTGTGATGACCAAAAACATTTTCCAAATTTCCAAAGTGTACCCTAGGGGGTCGCATCACCTTGTTGAAAACCAGTGCTCCAGCATATTCACCCCATGCATTCTATCCCAGACTGAAAAATTCCTGAAGCCTCAGCTTTTGGCTTCCAAGCAACCCTGGGCACTTGGGGCAACTGTCATCCCTCAGCCCCTACATGCCAAGTCCACCAGCCTGTGATCTATGCTGCTTTCTCTCCCATTTTCCTGACAGTGGCTCACACCTTAAAATGATGCTGGGGCTGGAGAGGTATGGCCTTCCTCCTAGCGCTATAGGAGGAAGGGAGACTAGTCCAGGAGGACAGTCCTTGATTTGTCTTCTGTCCTAAAAATATCCGTTTGACACTCATGGAGTCCAGGTTTCACCCGGGCAGGCGTTGGGGCTGGGAGACAAGTGGTGCACTTCCTGTCCCCATCCCTCTTCCCGCACACATCCCCCTCCACTCCCCACCCTGATGCACAGAATGCCATGGGAGCTAGAAAAGGGAGTAACTGATCTTACCCACAGTCATGTACATTTCTGCCATACTCGGATACAAAAATGATAGCCTGTAGCTCTAGGGTGTAAGCAATTTGCTCATAAAGTTGCTGGTACAACAGAAACATTCTGTGTATTGGACTGGGTAGGTGGCCTCCCATCCAGTCTTGCTAATTCATGGTGTGGAAGTGGTATGAGCCGGAAACAAGCCACAAATATACAGTGGAAAACGAATTTGGCTAGAAGTCCACAATATCAAAAATGTGGGCTCTGCAATTTTTGGTGACAGTGATGTTCAAGATTTTGTCCTAGGCTGGACTCTGAAAAAATGAGAGATGTCAAAAACTTAAGCAAGGCAAGCAAAGCAGATACTTGAGGTAGTCTGCCCAGAATCTGAAAGTATTGGCAACAGATGGATAAAACAACAAGCATATGTGTGGATGTGGGTGTTTTTTAGATGGCAACTCTTCAGAGTACATCTTTGTGTATGTTAAGCCCCAAATCTGTAAGCCTGCAACAAACATACCTTATGTAAAACAAATGAGGGTGCTTTTTCCTCTGGCAACCAGTTCTAGCACCAGCAATGACTAGTGACCAGGTAGTGGACAGATAGTAGTATATGGGGAGGCAGGAGAAACTAAGTGGTTAGGATGTTGGGTTTAGGATTAGAAGCCAGATTGTCTGGGTTTTAGTTCTGGCACTGCCACTTTTTGGGGGGGTAACCTTGGGCAAATTTTATTTATACCCTCTGCCTCCCACTTGGGGGTCATTTGGTGGAGTTAAGACCAGAGCCAAGCCCACAAGTCCTGTCTTTGGTCCTATTCAAGTCCTCCCTACTTTGGTCACTGAAAAGTTAAAGGTTAATGGAACAAGTCCACCAGTGATCTGCTCCATTGTACAGATCAAACTGTGTGAAAGATGACATTTCTCATGTCTTCTCTGATGGGAAATGTGGAAGGATAAGAGGTCTCCCCCATCTGTAGTTATACATCCCCACTGATAAAGTAGGTACCTTAAAGTAGGTACCGTATACTGATAAAGTAGGTACCTTAAAGTAGGTACCGTAAAGTAGGTTGGGGAAAAGAAGTGATGTCAGAGGCTGTAGGGAGCAGTCTTCTGGTTCTGTGTTGCGTTCTGGTCCTGCAAGTTCATTCCCCAAATTGCATGACATCTGCCTGGAGACTGTGATAGAGAGTTTGGGACTCGCCAGCCCCATGGCAGAGTGTCCAGCTGGCACGATGGCATGGTACTGACCGACATGGGATCTCAACCCAAGAGTACCACATAGACCAGCAGGATTTTATCTTACACCTCTAGTGGTAATGAGTTTTAATGACCACGGTGGATATAAATTTGCTTAGAAAATTATGTACAGGCACTACTATATTACTCTATCATGTACCTAATTTACATAAAAGTAGAAATACGAAATACAGGAGTTTAAAATGCCTTGGCAGTTATGATGACATCATGATTATTAGCTAATATCTCAAGCCACATAAAGAATTGGAGGGAGGTTCATTACTGAGAATTTGTCAATTTACATTTCAAATCATAGTCTTGTTAATTTTGCATTATTTTCTGGATGACTTCTGATCAGATCCGATTAAAGTATTATTGTATTTACTTCCTAATGGAACTTAGGAAGACCTCCTAGTAGTAGGAGGAGAAAGAGTTGGCTCTGCCATTATCTTGTCGTTTGCTTGTACTTGAGTATTATTTTCAATTGGTGATTTATTCGAAGGAGTCTTTTTAACCCATTTGTCCATGTTTTGGGGGTTAGTTTAAAACTAATTAATATAAGTCATTGACTTCCCTTAATAGTGTCCTTATAGAGTACAGCACCTCTTGATTAGCTGAAAGTGGATGACAGCATGAGGGTACTTCCCTCAAGACAACTGTGTAAGGAATGTCTACTCCTTCTGCAGGAATGTGTACTCCACATGTGATACATGACCATCCAATTGACCATCCAAGGGTGGGT